CAAAAAAAAAAAAAAAAAAAAAAAAAAAGACAAATGTAACAACTTCATGTTTACTAAGGTATATCAATTAAGCACATCTATGTCTAGTCTCCCCTAAGAAACTAGGAAGGTCATACCGATGGAATTTTTTTAAAGGTTTAAATCCACGACACACAAGAGAATAGAAAGAGGGTCATTAGCACATTAGAAAACTCAACAAATTTCTATAAAACAAAAAATCAGGTGAAATATTGCAAATTAATAAAAAAAAAAATAAGTCAGAAAGCTGGCATGTTGATCACAACCCTATAGAAGCTCTTGGAACAACAGCAATGGAACTTATAAGAAGGTCTGAAGACAGGGAATTAAATGAAGTTCTTATTATGGAAGACAAAAGTTTCCTAAGCCCTTGCCCCTTGCAGACAGCATACAAACCAGTATTATACAGGGTGGACATCAAGTTCATGGGCAATTTAAAACAGTTTACTATTTTACTGCACTATTTAAACTGCACACGAACTTGATATCCACCCTGTATTTATCCTCAGGTCCTAAATAAACAAATAAATACTAAGGTATGGGGGGTCTGTCTTCTCTAAAACTATTTAGTGAACTGTCTTATAAACTAGTTAGTGTAGATAGTGTGGGAATTGAGATAAAAGAATAAAGACCCTCTCATTCTGATACTTAGGGCCCTGATACTTAGCTCTGTGGAGTATAGCACAGTGGGGCTTGGTTATGAGCAAAGATCCTCAAAGAGCATCAATAGGAGAATCTGGGATTCTTATGGACACAAGGAATAGTCTCATTGAGCGCCCCATGGCAGAGATCCTAGAGAATTTCAAAATGTTAATTCACTTTCCCATTAAAAGACTATTTACATAGCTATGATAAATGCTATCTGCAATTTTTTAACTTTCAGAATGAATATATAGATAGACCAAGAGCTGCATTCTGGTGGCTCTCAAGAAAAATCCTGCCTCCAGATAGATTTTGTTTGGCCAATGACACTTTTCAAAATAATTGTGCAGCTATGAGAACAAAGTAACCATGATTCTCTGCATCTTTCACTGGGCTGGTTCACAAATGTACATAAACAGAACCCTGAAGGCATTGGAGTTTGCGGCCTAGGGTGGGTATTTATTAATTATTTGGGTGCACAGTATACTTTCCCTTTTCTTGCGATAACAGACCTTCCCTTTTGGGAAAGCCTATCTGTGCTTTAGGTGAAGCTCCGGGCCAGATTCCAGAGGTGGAACCCAAGACCTAGGGTTAGATAGTCATCAGCCTGCCCATAGTTATTCAGGGATTGGCATGAGAATGATCAGAGTAAATCACTAACTTTGACTACTTGGAATAAACTTTTTTTTTCTTCTCTCTGGATTGGCTGGGTTTAAACCTGAGAAAGGAAAAGGATGAAGCAGCTGTCATCTTCTTATCCCTTGAGGGAGACGTCACCCAGGCTGAGCCCACAAGAAGCAGAATGCAAGAGCTGGAGAGCGGGGAAATGAGTTCTGATAACACTCTGGAATGAATCTTTTTCCCTGAGTCTTCATCTAACCCTACACTTTGCTGTTTGTGTTGTGAGCAAATAAATTTCCTTTCCTGCTTCACTGGCTTTGGGTTGAATTGTCTGTCACT